TACAGTTTTCGATAGCTGTGTTGTAAAAACAGCCCGTAGGAATATTTCCGGCACCACGCCATCCGCTGTGCGCCTGTCCCATGATTGCGTCTTCCTAGTCACCCGGCGCAGGGACCGGAAAACCAATAAAATTCACTGCCCTTCAGGCTTCAATGTGCCGCACCTAAACACATTTACGATGCTGGCCGACGCATGGATGCCATCTTATCCTGCTGCCTGATCGATGCCAATTGCACACACGCAGACTTTGATTGGATCAGGAGGCTGCCTGGGTGCCAGCCTTTCTGATAAGCCAGATTTTGGCTGGTTGGGGGTTGGAGCGTTCGCGGGCTGACCAGCAGGATTCAGACAGATGGGGTGTGCGGGCGGCAATTGGGATCATCCACCTATGCTTGGTGGACGCTGATTGGTGGCCAGGAGCTTGTCCCAAGGGCCTTGAAGTACTTCTTGACATGCCTGAAACGACAGGCGCACAAGTTATTTCTGCAGTCCATAACCCAGTCGATCCCACTGCCTTTTGTAACACTTATTTAACTCAACTCCAACAAAATGGTAACTTGAAAAATGGCTTCGGCTTTACTGATTTAATTTTCAGGTTGAATTGTCCAAAGCAGAGATTGAAGGTAAGCCCGTGGAAATGTCGGAATTTGCCTTATTTCATACCATTATATTTCTCGGAAGTAACACAACAAAATTGGGCTTTTGTTTCAGATATCAAGGAAGTCTTCGACCTGTTCGATTTCTGGGATGGTCGTGATGGCATGATCGACGCTGTGAAGGTCCCAGATCTTCTTCGATGTGCCGGAATGAACCCGACCATCAAGGTCTGCTTGAAGCACGGTGCAACAAAGAAAACGGGTAAGATTCATTTATTTATCTGCAAAAGAAGCCTTCTTGGCTATTTAAAATTTATTCCTCCACGTATTTTTTCCTCTTGCATGTGTACTTTTACTCGGAAGGACACTAGAACCCATATTATTGGCATAAGATGTACGAAAAATAAAATCCCATTAGATAGTAAACCATAGTCTAGTGGGTCTTTTTAATAGATATAAGCAAGCAGTTGCAACCAGAAATTGGACATAGTTATTCGTCATCCTACACGATATTTTCAACCATTTTTCATAGGTTTGTACCAATAACAACAGATGTTCTTTGTACTTCGCATAGTATCGGAATGGCTAATCTGAATTGTATAGTTACTAAATTATAATTCCACGAACAGTTCTCATTGTTTTGAGACGCAACCTCCCTTAAGTTTAAAAAGGCAACACAGTTTGAAATCATAGTGATGATAATCCTGTGTTAGTATTTTTTTAGTTTTTCATGTTTTTAATTTTTCCCTACGAAGTCCTTCTTATTAACGTCATTTTGAGGATTCTAGTAACATATACCTAAGCCTTTCCACCTGATATAAATTGTCGTAGTTTGGGAAGGGAAGTGGTGGAGAGACGCAAAGAACTCATTTGTTATTCTGAGATATCAAGACAAATCATAGGACTGAAGGTTTAATGCCGGAAACGCCAACTAGCGTCTGACTATATGAACGTTGAGCGTACGTAAACTGGTTCTAAATTATTTATATGTATCGATAAACTGTTTCTTGTATTATAATTTCCCTATGTTGATCCCCTAACGCTCTAAACAGGTGAGAAGCAATACAAATTCGACGAGTTTTTGCCCATTTACGACTCGATTATCAAGGAAAAGGAGGGAGGCACCTTCGCTGACTTTATGGAAGCCTTCAAGACTTTCGACCGTGAAGGACAGGGATTTATCTCCGCAGCCGAGCTGCGACACGTCCTTTCCGGCTATGGTGAGCATTGAATTTTTATTCTGATTGACATTTCGTGTAGGTGAGCGCTTGGACGATAATCAGATCGACGAGATTATCAAGCTTACCAATCTTCATGAAGATCTTGACGGAAATGTCAAATACGAAGGTGAGGGTTTGTCAATATCGATTATTTTCCTTGGTTAACGTTAATCTGATAAATTTCAAAATAAGAAGGATTCTCTAACGAAAGCAATATTCTAAGAGACACTTTTTTGGAAGTAAATAGCGGGTTATGATATCAAAGACCACGAAATTCAAATTTACTGAGCAATGAACTATGACATTTAATCTTTTAAATAAGGCAGCATTTAATATAGACGTTAAAATATCACGCCCCATCTACATGCGTACGATTCGTGCAAACAACGGATTTCATTTAGTGGAATCTTCATTTGCTGAACATTCAGTTGCTAAGAATTTAGAAATCATGAGTTAATATACTTTCTGAATTAAACAGCGAAAACATCCGGTCAATCGTTGAGGAATTTAAAAAATATCTATGATCGCAAGTAATTTGACTGAAAAATATTTGCCTCACCATTTGGTTTCCTTAATTTCTATGTCTTTCTGGGGCACTTTATAGAAATGGATCAGTTAAAATATTGTATAATTGTAATTCTGTTGCGCTTGTACGTTTTTTATTGATGATACCTTTGCCTTTTCCCTTTAGAATTCATCAAGGGTGTCCTAGAAGGCCAACCGAAATAAACTACATCATTAGCATTGGAACTTGTTTACTTCTGACATGTAACCTTATTGCTTTCCCACCATCACCACTACTACCATTATCTACTCAGCCATTGTGTCTTCGTGCTCTTCGCCCGAGAGTCATCCTCGACTCTTGTCAGACCAAGGGACCAGTCAGTCTTGGGATATTTCTGTATTATATCTACGCTCTGCTTCTTGGACTTTCGCACTCTCTTCTAACCCATCGTTACCCTCCTTTCCCTTAAAAACCGAAACGACAGCCCCCACCCTCCCCCTCCCTGAGTCCTTATCCAGCGATGCTATGTGGATGCCACTGCCAACTAGTTGCTGAAATGCAACTGACTTTCGGCACTCATGTTACTTAAGAAATGTTTCGAAAATAAGACTTTTGGTATGTGCACACCATGTTCAGCTCAGCTGCTTTTTCCGCTGTATTAAGTTAGGCCGCCCTTTGTGTGCAATTTGTCTAGCTTGAAAAAAAATATGAGTAGAGATCATTTAAATATCATTGAATTGTTTTTCGCAAAGGCATTGTTAAAAATGATTATAACATAACTTAGTTGGGAAGATTTCTTAAAAGGTATTACCTGCATGGCTTAAATTATGATCGTCAGGAAGGAGGAGAGGTTCGGGTGCTTATACGTATTAAAGCACTTTCAATAAGTAATGCTCGAATAACCTTGCTTAAAAATAATTCTTGGATGTTTTCGCGGGCAAAAAACTATGATTCGTACGTAACTATATAGGTTGGATAGTCTGTGGCTAATGGTATAGGGCTCATCTTAAGGATTCATAATCAAAAAGTCCGGGTTCAAATCGGAGCGAGCCGTGCCCTGACGTAGCTCTCACGTTGATCCAGTGCATCTATCATGCTGCACGTGCATATGCACTTTCTGAATGGTCGAAAATATGCAAGGACCAGGTAATCGAATAGAAGACGGGAAAGCGTTCTCTATGACCAGTTTTTTATTTGCCCGACGTTTCGAACTCTCACGCGAGCCCATTGTCAAGGGCTCAAAAAGTGTACAGCTCACTGCATCTTTAGCTCAACTCTGTCGAGAGTGACCTTGAGTCCGGCCGTCGATTTGTTCACGCAACGCCAGATAGGCATCCGGCAGATCGATATGCCTATTAATAGAATCCGCTTGCGATTGCCATGCCGCCTGCAGCAAGCAAGAGATTCGATCGTCCGACTGACCAGTATTATCATGCGTTCGAAGTCGAAGCCGTGCTCCGACGTGGATGCATGACCGGCTACCAAGGAAAGCTTGTCCTTCGTCCCACGGCGATTTCGTGCTTGTGCAGTCTCGTGAGAATACGTTTGCCAGTTTTGCTAACATCATTGGCTTGACCACATAGACAGTTAATGAGGCAAATGACACCGAATTTTTTGGTTAACGGTTATTGAGTCTTTAAACTGCATGAGTTACCTGCAGATTGTCACTTCCAGTCTGTGAACAACGCCAATCCCAAAACCACTGACCAATCGTGCGAATTCTTTGGATACACCAGCAGTCTGAGGTATTGCTCGCCAGCGTGTTGGTTCTAGCTGCCCCGTTGGTTTCCATCGTTTGGCTCCTCGTCTGCATTTTTCGGGAAATGCGTCAGGATATCCATTCATCGTGAAAAGTTTCCGCAGGAACTGGACCTCGGCCTTCTTGTCGGCTGGTTCGCTGCAGTGAGTTTCTGTTCGGTGTTATAGCGTTTGCATGCAGCTGCGTTTATGCGAGACGTGATGGTTGCTGTGGTAAATCAGAATACGAGGGGTATTCGTCGCCGTCCTGTAGACTATTGTTTTTCCTCCACACCGTCTCTTCTGCACACGAGCACCTCAAGGAACGGCATCTGTATAAACATCTGCATCTTTAAATCCTCCAAATATGACGTGGTAGTACCATACCAGACATGTGTCCCCTAGAGTTAACCAACTGTCAATTCATGTATAAGAGGAAAGAGGGAATTTCGACTTACAGAAAACGCATAGCAGTAAGCCAAAAGAAGACTAGGAATCTTCAAGCAAAGGGATATCTCACTTTTAGAGTGGAACACTATCATTATACCTGAAGAGCCAGAAATTAACTAAATAATGCTGCTCCCAAGGATGAACCGCCAAAATAGGAGGTAAATCATTGTAGCAACTAACCGGCAAAAAGTCTACTCTTTGACTGATAAAAGATTTGCCGATTTCATTTGACCCAATTGAGTCGATTAACCCGTCCAGCGTACTCCTTGACGTGACCAATTCTGATACAGTAAAAAGGCTGCCCAAGCAGTATTTCCTAACCAGTCAATCTAGAACCCACCAGATAGCTACCAGATACACTTATTTATTCAGAGGGATTGGGTATGTTTGAATAATTCATTTGGCTCTACTGTGAAAAAGCGTGCGGCCGCAGTAGGATTCGAAGCCATGCCAGCCAGGCAAGGCTTCAGTAAAACCAACGCTTTGGCCACCGGAGCTATCGAGTCCCAAGTGTGATTAAAATCAAGGCACATGACAATCTGTCGAGGCTTCGCAGCTCAGGTATTTCAAATTATTTCATTCAGGTCTACAAGGAAGTAAAATACGGGCACTAGAATATGGAAAAGAGAAGAATATGGTAGAGCTGAAATCTTGATTGCATTAATTTTTTTGCAATTTCCTGCTCTAACGCTCGCAGGTGTCTGTTGAGCAGAAGAGAAGTTGATGACTACATACCTTACAGGATATCAGGAAATTGGCCGAGTAGTTTTTAGGATGCACATTTTAAAGTGCCAGAAAAATAGACTCCACTTCTAGAATATTTTTTAAACTGAAATAATGGCTGAGGGGCAATCATCGATCGCGTTATGGAACATATTCGTTCCCTGTTTTGTCTTGCTGTTCACTCTCGAGCCTGCCAGTAGCCACCTAGTGGCTAGTATACTGTTGCCTTTGTAAAGGTGACAACAACTGTTTTAATTGGGTTCTCTAAGTAGATTACATCAAAATTTACGTATAAGAAAGCACTTTGGTTTCCAGTCGCAGTGTTTAGTGAAGTTGTTTGTATTACCTTGCGAAATAATTAATGTAACGGAGTTATAGCAGAGCTTGTAGCCAGCGGTTATTTAATCTACTGAAACTCACATTTCAGTGCAGTTTAGACAACCGAATTGGGATTTGGAAAATTTGGAAGCAAGGTTGCTGGCAACTAGTTTCCCTATCTACCGACTGAAAGGAAGAATCATGATAATTTTCATCTAAAATCGGAAAACTTGGCAGGGTATCGATTGAGCACATTTTGTCTGAAGTTGCCTGATTCCATAAACATATTATTTACAAATCTGCTTGACAATATCTTACATCTTGCTGGGCGTCATTTTGTTTCATGCAAAGTGGTAGCTATTGTAAAGAAAGATACTGCATCTGTATTCGCTGTGACTTTCATAGCATACTGGATTTATAGAATACGTTTTATCCTATGCGTGAACACATTGCGATCGCCCTTAAAATATTTTCCTCCATAAGCCGTTAGAAGACGTTTGCACCGATTACCGACTTAACATCGCGACTCTCTTTGTGTTTGATTCAGTTTTATAACTAATCAAATTGTTACTGTTGCAGCGATGATTATATATTTGATCCAGTTGTGCAAACATCGACGGCCTTGGTGAGATACGGACCGACGCACGCAGAGGGAAGGCTTTAGTAAAGCGAACGCTCTAAATGACTGAGCTGCGTGGACCCACGGGGAACCGCGAGGTTAATCACATTTGGGTCAATTTACCCGCCCAGCCTACTAAAACGTATGGAACCCACCAATTCTGATATAGTTAGCTGATTGCCCGGGCAGGATTTCCTGAGAAATCAATGATCCACCAGGTGTCTACCAGTCCCGCTTACTTCAAAGGGGGGAGAGGGCTGGTTGATTTAAATAGTCCATTTAAAAACTGAGTCAAATGATTTGTTTTTAACGAAGACTATGCCACATAAGCACAAATAACAATTATTACTATACACAAGCTGCGCCCTTTTGCCGCCAGGGAAAATTGAGACATGGCACCGAAGCTAACTTGCAGAAACAACGATTTCGAAAAGTTTCTACAGGCGTACTACAGTACGTAGTACTGTAAACAGTGAGTCAACTGACATTACTTTTTACTTAGGATTAAAATTTCCACATTTGCATGAGTTGGTCAATAAGTTTGTTTCAACTGTTCATAACGTATTCATCTTGCGTAAGTTAATTTCTTAAATGATGCATGTATTCCAATATTTGCATATGGTAGCTGAGTATATGAAAGTTGCTTATCGAAATTTAGTAAGAAAACACTGATTACAAGTAAAAAACAAAAAGTGCCATCAAAATAAAAAGAAATGTCCGCTTTTAGGCACCATTAGAGATTTTTCAAACATATTTGTTTTTTCTTCAATTTCGTGATGTTATCGAATAATAATTCAGTGATATAAAATGTCA